CAAACGGTGTTCGAACGTGTAGCGCTCCGGCACTGGGAGGAGGCGAGCGGTAGCAGTAGCCAAGCCAGGGGCTGCACGTGCTCTCTTCCCAACGCTCCTCAGCCCTGACTTGCAGCAGTCCCCGCTAGTCCAGTCCCGAGCCTCCCTGATTCGCCTGCCAATTGTGCCACATTGGGGGGCGGTTCTGCGAGACAAGTGTCCGGAGGCCAGACTGACACCCACCCACCCTCATCTACTTTGAAAACCAGCCTCAAGCTGAATCCCAGGCTCCAGCGTTGGAATGAACCCTCTCACCCACCCCCCGCCCCACCCGTTCTATCCCCGCTAGATAGAATGAACTAAAGGAACGAGAACACAAATAAAATCAGGCCAATTACAGAGAGGACGTACGATCCTGCAAACAAACCATTAGCTTTTAAATTATTTTAATTCTACATTCACTAGTTAAATAAATTACCCACAGTAAATACTGTAAGGAGGTTTGTGGTCTGCCAGTCTTCAGCCCTGGCATGAAGAGACATGCTACAATCTTTAGTTGTCTAGTACTGAACTAGACACGTAAGGCTCAGCTACTGTGTATGAATTTTCCAATGTCCAGGAAGGACAGGGTGACCTATGCAAAGGAGTTGAGGGCCAAGGGCGAGGAGAGAGAAAACAGCTTTGCAAAACGTTTGATTATTTAGAATTTTTTGACCATCACACCCAGGAAATCCGTTCAGTTGAGTCTGGCTGGCAGCTGGCCAGGGACTCCCGGCCACAGGAAGGCATTTTAAAACCGCGAACCCAGAGGGAGCAATGGACACAGCTCGTATGGAACGCCATCTCTAGCAGCTGATGGGCAACCCCAGCTGGAGTCCCCACTTTTCCAGGTACTCCCCCTCACTGCAATGTGCTTTTCTCAGGCTAACGCTTCGGTCAGATGTGGATATACAGTTGCTCCTCCCTTCACTTTACACTGGCAGAACTAATACTAATATACAAGAACTTTTGTAATACTGTACAAGGGCCCTGTCTTTTGGCTTCCAAAGAGATTACCTGCTATTGTCTTAGTGAAAACATCCACAACCAGTAACCAATGGGGAAGACTGTGCATTCAGTCCCATTCAGACACGACTTGGTCATGTCACTCCCCAGGCCTGGGCCACAAAGACTGGCCCAGGCTTATGCAAATTTAAGTCCGCATCTGACCAATGATCTCAGTCCCACCTTTCAGAAACGGGGAACACATGGCTACTCCAAAGCACAATTCCTTGTGCTTACAGGAGAGAGGAATCTAGAGGCAAAAAAAGGGGACAGAAACATTCAGTGGCAACAAGCGAAGAGAAAGAAGAGTGGCGGCGGCAACACCACTTCAATGAAAACCCGCAGACGCATTCATTCAACTAGCATCTGCGGAGGGTGCAGAGGACCGTTCCTGGGAAAGGAAAGGGTTCCACTTTTCCCGTAGCCATCCTTTGAAAACAATGGCCGATATTGAAGGCACGTAGCAAACAGTATGTCAAACAGTAGGACCCAAAAGAGCAGGGAGAGATCTACACACAGGGGAGGACCAGATGACAGTAATGGGTCTCTACCCGGACAGATTTGTTGTGTGCCGTCCATGGCACTGTGCATGCTATTGGGAAGCACCCCATGGGGCAGGAGACGCAGAGTTGCATTAAATCACAGCTGACGGGCTGGATCTCAACTTGCCTTAATAGCGGGAACTCTCCGAGATCGTGCCCATTTCACTCAAAGTTGCTGTCTGACGACATCTTCTGCTCAACTCATGCAACTATCGCACAGAGAATAAAGGAATCTCGTTAAATGTGCAAACTGGAGGTTCCTGCCTGAATCTATAGAAGAGAGTTGCATCAAAAAAAACTGTTCCATCTGAATTCAAGGCCTAACGGAGTTGTCTTTGGAGAGAAGACTAATATTCCAACATTGATTATCCCTGTATTGCATAAAATGCCTGTGGCTTCCCTTATCTTCATGGGAAAGACGGGCCATGGAGATTACAGGCCTCTGGATGCAGGGCTACACTTTGATCTAAGCAGCAGCGCTGTGCATTGGCAACCATCCTACCCGAGCTGCATCCCTCAATTAAAGAGATGAGGACGGCTGCATTCGTGTTACAGATTAATTAGGTGGGGACCCCAACCCCTGCAAAGTAGCCAGTGTGGCACTCAGCTGGGCAAGCCCGGGGGCACCCCCCTTTGACAGCAGCACAGGAAAACGCCACTGCCACTGGGCATCGGCTAAAGCCAAGTGCACAAAACCTGCCAGATTCTTCCCATCAACCACATGAAGATAAGCAAAGCTACCTCCTGCCACGGGAGCCAGTTACTTGGGACAAGAGTTACCAAATACAAACCAATTGATCTTCAGAAACTCACCAGCGTTCACCCTACACACTCAGGGAGCTGGAGGAACACTCTCAGAGATGAAAACATGGTCACCTGGACTAGTGTGCTAAGATTAGGCCACAAACAAGTTCAGACCTGCAGGATTATACCAGCTTTAAAATCACAGGGGGTGGGATGGGGAAGAGGAGACCTGGTAAAATTATTCTACCCTGAAAAGTTTGCAGGTTGCCACAAATTAATTCTCCTTAGGTAGCCCAATGTACTAGAAAATGAGTAAGTCTACAGGTAACTTTCTGAAAGGAGAAGCTGGCGTGGGGAAAACCCAGCCTGCAAACTACACATGGATCGAAGCGTCAAGAGCCGGTATTAAGAAATATAAAATGAGTCTTTTCTTTTTAGGGGCACGTGGGGGTTGAACAGTTCCAATTGTTTAAAAAGTGAATAGTTAAAACAAAGCTGTACAAAGATCTCTGCAGCTGCCCATCCTCTGAGCAGGAGAATGAACACTCCGGAGGATTTGACTGAAATTCTCTAGGAGGATCTTCAAAGCTTCCTAACGGAATGACGTCGCTTTGCCATCTCTTGATGGGTTCTCGAGCCTCCTGGGAAAGAGGCTCCCCCTGAATTACACCCCAGGTTGTTCTGAGCTTTCAGGATGGAAGGGGAACTCCTCAGGGACAGGATTTCTTCTGTTGAAGTTAATTTACAAGCACATGTTTCTCATATGCTCCATTTACTTTGGAAAGATTTTACCCCTTAATTTAGGTCTTGAAGGGAGGGTGAGAACTATGCATGGCTTCAACAGCTTCTATTAATGCAGAGTGCCTTTGTGTTTCGATTCTGTGCTTATCAGTAACCCGTTCCATGCAGCTGTTACTGAAGTTCTACCACTCGCATCGCTGATGTCAGAATTTGGATTTCTTTGGTCACCGGGTTCAGAAGCAGTTGCCTCAGTAGAAAGCACATGAACATACCAGGCGTATTAGCACACCAGTGGTACTGGTTATAGAGTGATCAATGCCTTCTAGTCTCTACTAAATGGAAAGTGTCAGATGCTGCAGAACATTCCTAAGGTGACCTTTAATGACTCTAGAAAATACTCACCCTCCTGCCTGTGCAACAGTGGGAAAAGGGCATTGGTACAAGAGAAATATACCTACCTTGTGCACTGATTAGTTTGCATGGTGGTTTTAACTAAATTCTCATACTCTATTACAGGACTTAACGTAGCAACTCCTTCCAGATAGATGCACTGTGCTTATCTGCCACACATAGTATGTTCCAGTTACACTAGGACAGGCAAATCCTTCCTCAAGGTGACTCAACTCTTCACTCAAGTGTGAGCCTCTTAGAGCCTTAGGAGAAGACAAGTCTAAGTTTCACAAATACCAGGGCTGGAAGTTTTCACTTCCCAAAGGTTATAGCCAAGACACTTCTAGATCACTTTTGATCATTCCAACGATGCTACTCTGAAGATACCTGCCACAGTGTTGGCGTACTCTGCATAAAGTGAACAGAGGTCTAAGTGTCCATGTAATCCAACAGGACATGCTCTGTCATGCTGACATGTTACCCACATCTGGCCACCCTATGTTATTCTCGTGGAGGGTCTGCAGAACATTGGAATCCCCAATACTCCAGTAGGATCAATAATCCAGTGGGTATCTAGTCCCGTTCAAAACAGTAAGTGTTAACAAGGACAGGTTGAAAGAGCTATTGCTACTCACAGAAGGAAGTAGTGGCCTGTACCAGACAGCACTGGAGTTCTTGCTCCTCGTAAAAAAACAAGCTCTATTCGTGCGGCACTGTCTGAGCCAGTGAGCTACCACACAACGGCCCCCGGTCAGGGGAATTTTTGTTTCCTTGACAAGCCTTTGTGCATTTGACGCCAAGGAACAAACTGCGCTACAGACTGAACAACTGCAGGCTGGGACAATGGGAAGACAACTGCAATGCAAGTTTCCTTACCATGACCAGGGGGAAGTCTCAGTCTGTCCCTGGTGTTTGACTCCACTCTAGACTTTTCCAAGCAAGGGACTCTGATCTTGGCCAACTTGTTCTGAATGGCTCCTCCTGAGGGCACCATCTTTCCTGAACTGGCTTCCAACCTATCCTGTGACTAGATCTCAGGAAACAGCCCTAAATGGAGTCAGCCTTTGGTGATCCCTTCAGTGTTGCTAAACAGAAGACAGGCAACCCTGAGACTGTCCATTTTGAAAAAAACTTACATTCATCATAAAAAAAACAGTTCCTCTGAAGTTTTACAAGGTGGTCTGTCCTGCTCTACAGGCACTGTAGTGTTGGGGTCATTCTTAGATACTCAAAACCGCCACCAAATATAGACTGGCCTGTTGTATGCTATTTAGTCTGTCAGTCTAACATGTAGCATGTGATAATAACGAAGAGTAACGGGGCTAACGGGAAAATGGCTCTTTGGTATTTAATCAAAAGAAAGCTATAATAGATGTTATTCCTCTGACGCTACGGAGAAGCCTACGTAAAATGACAGCTTACAATTCTAGCAATCAGTGTTAGACATTTCACACACCTGGGGCTCTAGGAGCGGAGATTCTGCTCTCAAGGTGAGGGAGGGGAGACGTGAAGGAAGGGGCTGCGCCTGTGGCACTCAGGTACTGTCTAGTGTGGAGCTCAGACTCCAACCTCCACACTAGACAGTAACAGCAGCAGCTAATGGAAAGTTATTTTTCCTTTGTAAATCTCACATCCATTCCAACTGAGCATTTTGAACAAACATCTTTTAACCTGGCAGTAATACCCTTCATTCTATGAAACTCTAGGCCTCTTTAAAAGACATCACTAAGATTTCAAGACACTATTAAGACTATTAACTAGGCTTCATGCTATAAACATTCTCCTATTCCATGGGGCTCAGCAGAAAGACTCATCAAGTTACCAATCAAAGGGCTCGAACTCCCATTGGCCATTGCCTTTAGAAGGGCCAGTGGGAGGTGAGAAAGCTAGGCTGGAAAGCTGACATGATTCAGAATGAAAACCCAGGCAGAAAAAGTTTCATTACAGAAAGTAAAACAGTAATAGCTTCACTGTAGGCAGCATCTGCGAGAGGTTTTCACGATTTACATCATACCCAATCCAGTTATTCCGTAACAATAAAATGAGATGGCCTGACTTCAATGGGCATATTCACTGGGTGGCTGGTCTTGAACACACAGCATTAATGAGCTTGTGATAGAGTTTTCCTCCACCACCAGTAATACCCCACATTTACATTTCTTAAAAATAGTGTCACGTGAAACATCCCTGTAGATCTCTTCACAATTTGGTGACTGGCTGCACTATCCCTGTCCATAAACATGCTGTATATATTTCATATATAAAAAATATTCTCACACTGTAAAATTGCATAATTACTAGAAGAGCCTGCAACTCGTTTCTTTTTTCTTGTTTCACAAGAAACTCAAGTTTTGGCAAAACTGCAAAGGGACAGAATTTCACCCTGCATTCCGAAAAGTCTGCAAGAATTTAGGTTTGGTTTCTACATAAGTCCTCATCTTGTCTAGATAAAATCTCAACCTGTGCTATATTGCAGGGCTGGAGGAAGCATGGAACTGTAGAAATGACCTTGGGATTGTTTCTTCATGATGTGCAATACAAAATGAACTAGAGATACAGTATTTTGTTTGCAGCATTCCAGGGTGGTGTTTGTGGGGGAAGGGAAGGAGAGGGGACAATGAACCGTTCGGATCCATTCGCCATTAGCACAGTCCTGACAAAAATGCTCCAATAACCCGTTCTAAGTTAGTCGAGAACAAGAGCATCTTCGCTTGGGAATTACCAGGAAAGCCCACTCAGTCCAGGAGGTTCACGTCACAACCCCGTGAGAGATCGTGCAATGCTCAGCGTGTCCGCTTTTCATAATCCTCGCCCTGCATCTTAAACTTCCATTTACAAACCATGGCAATGGTTAACGCCACTGGACCAAAAGGTTGGGGCGAAAGGAACATGGAACGAAGGGTTAGTTTACACACACTATACACACGTGGGGAGTCTGGTTCTTTGGAACGCTTTCATATGTAATGCACTACAGGGCCATCATTTCTCCCCACCTCTATCCTTGTCCCATAGAAGAGTGGAACGTCAGCCCAGCCCGCACAAGTTCCACAAACTCCCCCAAACACCTCATTAGTGTTTTCAGGGGGGTAGGGGTCCCCATTTGTTTTATTCTACTGATAAAATAGACAGAGGACCAGACTGCACAAATAATAATGAACTAGGCTCTCCCAAGCCCTCGATCGCAGCTACACTTGTCTCTGTCCGCCCCACCCCAAAACCAAAACAGGAAACTGAAATGTATCCAGTTCATTCAAGCCACATGCTGCCTGAAGGGAGGGGCCTCCCTTACAGCCCCCCCAACTGCCACATGTAGACTGTGCACTTTACCATGACAACATAACTCCGTCTATTCACAATGTACTGAACTGCTTGGATGGCTGTGCCCTCACCACAGCATGCCAAAGAGCTCTCGGTATGCTGCCAGCACCTGCAGGCTTCCCAGCTGTCACCTCCATGTGCCAGCCCTCGGCACGGACCTGGCTCCATTCTTGTCTGTCCCTGGGGAAGATGGGGGAAGGGAAGGGAAGGAAGGCTGTGACTGCTTACGCTGTTGCATACACATGCAGACGTTTTGTTGGGTTTTTTCCTTTTAAAATGATCAAATTACTGTGAAATCACAACGGGCACAGGCAGCCGTACGAGGTAACTATGGTTCAGTGGTGCTTTCTTGGTAACTTCCAGCATAACTCAGCCTTGCCTATTTCTGTATCTGGAATATAAAAAGCCGCAAGTTGATGTTCTTGGCAGCCAGCAGTTTGTTACATTCCACAGAGTCGATGATGGGGAGCGGCACGTACTCCGTCTCATTGTTCTCATTGGTGAAGACGAAGTGATAGATCACGGGGTTGATTTTCACGTCGTCGTAGGGCCCCTTCAGGAGCAGGAAGGAACACTCCATGGGGGAGCTGATCTTGCTTTTCAGAATGAGCTGGAAGGAGAGGGTGCGCTTGCAGGACAGGTTGGGGTTGCGTTCGGAGTCGTTGACGCGGGCCTTTAACACCCAGGTCTGGTTGAGCACGGTGAACCTGGGCGTCTCGTAGTACAGGCGGGTGATGAAGTCATCGGTTCGATAGGGACGGAACTGAACTTCTGCAACACAACAAAAGAGGGCGGGGGAGAAAACACAGACAGACAATTAACCAGAGCAGCTGGCAGCCTGAACAATCGAGCTCAAGTTACCTGTAGCTACTGTGCAGGACCTTTCTTGACATGGCATAAGGAGGCAATTGGGGTTGGGAGTGACCACTCAAAGCCAGCTAGTGTCAGGAGAAATGGGACTTCTTGGGAAGGAACTCAATGCACTTTAATAGTCCATTGAAAACAGTAAATACAGGAAGCACTTTCAAGATGCATAAAATTGAGGGGAGGGCAAGGGAGGGGGAGAATAAAATACAAACAAGGTTAATCAAATCCACTGAATACACCACCTTGTAAACATAGGAATTACCAAACTGGGTCGGCCCATCTAGTCTAGCACCCTCTCTCTGACAATGGCTAGAATCAGATGCTTGTGAGGAAGGCTGAAGAAAGCCCATTTGTAGACAGTGAATCCCCAGTCTCTGATGGGTTTAGGTCTGGAGGCTTGAGGGTTGATATGCCATAGATATTTGCATATTTAGTGTAACTGTAGCTATTCTGAGTATCAGTGTCTAATCCTTTTCTGAATGCTTAGCCTCGGTAATATCTTGTGGCAGAGAGTCTCACAAGTCAGCTGGTTGTTGTGTAAACAAGAATTTCCCTGTATCAGTCTGAATTTGTTGTTACAAGGTAAATGACTCACTAACGTTAGCTTGTGGTGAGTGGGTGGTGCACACAGCACACAATTACAAAGCATCAGTCAGTTGCCTAAGTGGGTCTGACTGATGCAAATGACCTACATGAATTTGGTTATAAACCATGCCATCAAGAATGGCAAGATGGATGGGCCCTTGCCACTTGTTTCTTTGTGATCTGTTGATGAAGAAAGAGCGGGGGAACAGGCAATAAGCATGTAGTGAGAAGGGAAGTGTTGTGGGAAGCTGTAGCTGATCCTAGGCATAAAATCTTGGGTATGCCAGAACTGAGGTCTGGAGTGCATAAAAACAAGCATCACACGCAGACAGGATACAGTTCAGATAACAAAGCACGTTTTATTGGGATTATGCATACAAATCTGTAATCAAGGTAATAAGGCACAATTATGCATTACCATAGTGCAAAACCAGAGAACAGGGCATGTGAAACACAGACCTTCAGGCTTCAAAGGTACAGAAAATTCCGGGTTCAGATACATAAAGAAATAACAATACATTGGGTAGAAGTGGTCCAAATTTACTTTTGCAAATGCACTCTAAAATCTGAAATCCAGCCCCCGTTTCAAGGCACAGTCCGCTGTCAGTCCAATAAACTCTTTGCCAGCACACAGACTTTGTCAAATCTATCACTTTTGAACAAGCATATCGTTTCAGTGAAGTCTTTACTGTACAAACCATGGAAGCTCACAGCATAACTACAGGTACAATGAACCTTTGGGTGCAGTTCATACAGGTTTACATATTCTTCAGAGTTTCCAGAAGAATTAGGAAAGCACAGGAGGCAATACCTGGACAAAGGAGGTGAGCAGTTATTCAAGCTACACAGCATTTGTAACTCAGTGATTTGACATACACCATCATTTTACTACAGAATGCGACAGTGAAAGAGCTCAGAGGCCAGTTGTCTCTTCAGGGATCAAGAGCTATTATTTCTAACACACATCTCTACACAGAGAAGACGTTCTTCCTAGGAAGGAACGGCTTTAGGCGTAGGGGTGTTATCTCCAGTATCATGGAGAGCTGCTGAGCAGTGTTCTGCAGCACAGGATGCTGCTGCTTTGCCTCGCTCTCAAAGGCGCCCGCCTGAGCTAACTTATCCTACCGGGGCTGGACCCGGAAAGCAGCATCCGGGCAGAGCTTGGGCTAGCTCATTCCCTAGGCAACGGTTCTAACTCAGGCTTGTGCTCAAAGTGCAGACGCTACCATGGTGCGCTACAGAACTTTGCTCCCCTCCTCAGCACCAACTACTTACGTGTATCCGCAGGCAGCAATGGATGTAATGCTGGGAAAAACCAGAATCCGGGCTAAGCGCATCAGCTAACAAGACTGCTCCATTTTTCATGACCTGAGCTCCTAGCACAATCCATTTGCCACACACTGGCCTAGATAAGTTTCACTAAGGACTCAGCTCCAGATTTAAAAAGCAAAGTAATCAATGCAGCAGGATGCTAGAGTGGCTATCACTTAGGGTGACCAGACAGCAAGTATGAAAAATCGGGACAGGGGGTGGGCGGTAATAGACGCCTATATAACACAAAGCCCCAAATATCGGGACTGTCCCTATAAAATCGGGACATCTGGTCACCCTACTATCACTGCAACTACAAAAATCACCTTTCTGCCTCACATGGGAGAGGCAAGCAGAGACCTTGAACAGTACGAGGTTATCACACGCTTCTGCCTGCAGCTCCCTTCTGGAACAGCAGAGCATCCAGTGCTCCTGAGTGGAGGAGGAAAGCCAGCCGAGACCAGGAGATCTTCCCTCTACGCTTCCCTCTGTGGGGCTGCTAAATATTTATGGTAAGGGAAATGTGTTTTCCCCACCCACACCCTTCCCCCTCCATACCCTCTTCAGAGTTTCTCTTCCATATTATTTGCCTGCAAGTACCTCAAGCACAAACAAATCTTAAAAAGCAATTCTCGGGGCCCGACTTTAGCACTGATGTGCCAACAGAGTAACCAGCTTCCCTGCGTGTTTCATTGTGTTGTTTAGTTGTGTCAAAGGTGTTAATTCAAAGTTGATTTTTATCCCTCTTTTCCCCCCTCCCCACCCTCACAAGTTGCCATTTGAGGTAGACAATAGATAGCTCTGCACTGGGGCTTTTCTTTACCCAAAGGAAAAGCAAGAACAGGAGACACTCAAATATGAGAAATTACTACGTATTACGAAGAGCTCTCTCCAGGAGATGGATACAAAACCAACAGCACACAAACCCCCGTGAAAGATAAATTAAGCTTTCTGAATAGCTCACTAAGTGTGTGACCCAAGAACAGGAACCAGAACGGAATGTGAGGAGCTGTAATTCCCATGCAGTGGAAATGAGAGGCCTATCCCGTAGGGTCAGTGTGTGTGGGCGGGTCACTTCAGTTATTAATACACTGGACTCCGGCTGGAAGGATGTATCAGATGACAGATAAGGGGTCTGTTAGCTGGATGCTGTCAAATTTCATTTTCACTTGCAGTAAAACAAAGAAACATCACAGGCAACACTGGTTTATATTCTTATTATTCTGGTCTTGTTCGTCAATCCAGTGGATGCAACTACAGCACCTTACCTGCAGCTAGGACGTGGCCTTCCTTCACACTCGACGCAAGTGTTGCTCCGTGCACTAGCCATCAAGGGAAGCAGCGCCATAAGAACTGAGGTCAGCTACTGTCCAGAGCCCAAGCACCTAACCTGGGAAACAGGGCCAGTCTTCCCCAGTTCCGAGGCCCCGGAATGCCGCATTCGCCTCCTGAATCCAAATCCCACCTGACGCCAGGAGAATGAAATCTGCTGCTGCTGAGCCAACTCTTAACAGGTCTGACTACCCCCTCCATCTCCGCCCAGCACCCAGCACGGAGCACAGACACGAGCGAACCCAACTGCCAAGCAGACAGGGGAGGTTTCTCGGAGAGCACTACTGGGACAGTCTGCTCAGCAAAGCCCAGGCTCTTCTGACCTACAGACCGGCACTGTGCATTACATGAGAAAAACAGGCTTCATCAGTACGTAAATAACACGAGTGCCAAAAGCAAGACACTGAAAAGACTGGGAGGCGGCTGTGTGTGCCCTGGCTGAGTGATTACCTGTATAGCCAATCTTCTCAAAGCTGAGCAGGCTGAAGATGCTGTTATACAGTTGCATTTCTTTTTTATGGGTTTGGTCCATTTCATCCAGAATCTCCATCAGTTCATTCCCCGTCTTTGTGGGGTGAGTGCACTCCGCTTCATGGACTGTCAGCTCGTGGTATGGACCCTGCCACGGGCACCCAATCCGCTTGTATCTGCACTGAGTCACCCTGTTACAAAGACAGCACAAACAGGAGTACTTGCACCGCGGAATGACAGGCACGAACGGCAAATGACACTCCAGGAATGAGACGACTTATTGTCTGATCAGAATACAGCCTCCGAAAGCAAAACCCGACCTACCTGGTGGAGCAGTAACGACATCATCGGCTACCAGAATTCATCACTAAACCTCTGGGCCTCGGCATCCCAGAACCTTCATCCGTGCCAAAGAGGCCTAGGCTTTTGCAAGCCAGCATGTTTGGCTGCAGTCATTAATGCTCCAACTAAACAGCTGGTCCCAGCAATGGTGTTAGTAACCTAATCTGGGGTGGCATCTTAGTGTGTCACTTGTACAGCACCTGACTCAGTGGGGCCTCTGGGCGCTACTGCAGTATAAATCTTCACCAAGATTTATTGAGCACCTGTCATTTTATGAGATGCCAAAGAACTCCATGGACTGTTTGCAGGGCTCTCTTCACCCACTGCTGAAATGCGGCACCTTCTGGGGAGTAGTAAAGTAGCAACTATCCCATACTAGCAACACTCCCTTTTAAAAGCACTCGTGTAAAGTACAGAGCATACAACTGAAGTGACAGGAGGTGCCTTTCGGACTGAATTTGAAATGGAGTTTGAAAAGACGTCAGCGCTGACTCCCTTTTCACTGCAACGAGTGCGAGGGATTGTCAGCGACCACGCGTGGGCAGGATTTTAAACTGAAAAAGCCCCTACCACAGCACAGCCCTGTAGTGCCATGCTGGGGCGTAGCCTCCGTAGGAGTGATGGGAATGGTGTCATTTTACCAGAGAGGGCATGCACGTGGCTTCCTGCCAGGGGCCTCCCAGCCCAATCCTGACACTCCACCCTGGCTGGTTGATTAGGTTTCACTAGATCGCAGTACTAGGTAGTGCAGCTGAAGCACTCCTGTGGACAGGCAGTACAGTAAGTCTGAATTCCCAACAGCGCTGTGTAACCGGAGCTTCTGCCCCAGCTGACATGCTGCAGTCTAGCCAGTGCTCTCTGGGCTAGTGGACTCTGCCTGAGAGAAGCATCCCGCAGGCTTTTGGCTGCTCAGAACTACACAAGATAAGGAAGGGAGGGAGGGTGCATGCAACAAGCTAGGACAATGCGCTGCCTCTGCCAGCGTGAGACAGAAGCGATAGAAAGCAATCATGTGCAAATCTATGCGGTCTCAGTGCCGCTTTACAACTCTAGGGAAGTAAAGCAACTTGCGGCCAAGCCAGCCACAAGCTTCACTTTCCTGTCTCACCTAGCGTGACCTGCAGCCAGGCCACCTTACAAACAACGAACAGGAGAAGAGGGAGCCTGTTTTACTCCAGCCCCACATCCTGGGGCCAGCGCACACAGTTTCCTTGGTTTAGATGCCTCAGCGAAAGCATCTCGGGCCTCACTGAATGGAAGGGGAGACTGGTTACCTGTCCTGGCACTCCTCTTTCTGGTGTCTCTCCAGAAGAGAGCGAGGAAATTGCCGCATGCAGAAGCCACACTCGGATGGCAGCTCACTCACTGCTTTTTCCACAGCCAGGTTTCGGCAGCATAGGCTCTTACTGATCTCACAACGGCAATTGGGGCACGTAGCCTGTTCCTCCTTCAGCCGGGCATCTGCTAGTAGGTGGATAAAACAGCCAGCGCACATCAAGTGACCATTAGTACACTGTGAAGAAGGAAAGGGAAATGAAGCTTCAAAGACCTTGCGGGAAATGACATACCAGAGGTTCACTCTACACCTCCGACAGGCTTGCCCTCTAGTCTCCCTTATATTTTGATTATAAACAGATGTAATTTTTGCTGCATACATATATGTACTGTTGCTCTCTGGTCCACTGACATGTTAGACAAGAGAGCAACACAAGGAGAATTTTTTTTAAATGCACAAATGTGCGAAAGGTGTCAGGTAAACCAAAACAGACCTAGCCACTTAACTTAACACCGCAATGTTTAATCTTTAAGTAAAGCAAGGGAACCTCATTTTGAGGGAGACACAGGAACAGCAATTCCCTGCGGTCAGTTACCACCTTTAGTAAGAAGAGATGGGAGCCCATATTGCAAACTTGTCAAAACGCTTCCACATTGATGAGAACAATCCTGGACTGTTCCCCTGGCAAAGAGCAGAAACTAGAGAGTAGGAGACTTTCACTTCGGACTCAGCAGCATCTGGCTTCAAACCGACCAATGGGGAGGGAAAGATGTTAAACAAAATGAATTTCTGACTTGGTGGTGCCATTATCCTGGCTCTGCCCATCTTTTTACACACAAAGGACAGAACGTTAGGGGCTAAATGCCAAGGCTGGATTTCCCCCCACTCAGATAATCCTGTAGCCTGGCAGAAAGACTTACTGCTTTCGCTTTGTTTAAAGATGGCGCAGCTTCAAACCGGGAACAAACAAATGACTGACCAGCCAAAGACCAAACATGCAGAAAAAGGCACATGGCACCCAGGGTTTGGCCAGCCAGGCAGCGCCATTTTTACTGGCACTGTTCTTGTAGCTCGACAACAGAAAGTGAATGGCACTCCCCCCGCCCCCACTCCCCTTCTGACTGCTTTGTAACAGCCTTGCAGGTGACACCCCCAGCCCTGAGGAAGGCCTGCGTTCTCCTCTGGCACAGCAAAAGGACGATAGCTCATTTCAGAACAGACAATTTTACTCTTCCTTTACTCAAATGTAGACTGGATGGAATCCAGGCAACCTCTGTATCGCATGCTTAACTCACAGCGATTTATGAGCCTTGTAAGACAGAGGAGACTGAAGCCTGTTAGCAGTGGACTAAATAGCACTCCTGACCACTATCGAGTTTCGGTTCACACACTTTCCAACACGCTGGAGCCCTACTACGCCAGGAGACAGCTATTTCCAGCACTAGGTCAATTAACTATTGGGTTCCTTGGACTGATGCTGAGGACAATTTAACTGCTTGCGTAGACAGGATGAAACTGTTTTCAACACCTTTACAAAAAGTGTTTTTGAAAATAAAGTTTCTTGAGTCTGAACCCAGCCAGAGAGCTTCCGATAAATTGTCCCTTTCCCACGTTACGAGGAAAGTGAAACCCGCAGATTGAGCCATGCGCTGCAACAGTCATTATACAAATCACACACAGCACCAGAATACTGGTCCTTACGTCAAAAATAAAACCCCACAGGCTTCTACCCCTGAAGCCAAGGAGACATCCCCTGGCCAGTCACACTGAGCCCCTTATCCTCGATGGGTGATGGAAACATCCCAAGAGCAGAACCACACCCCACCACAAACCACCTACTTGTGCAATTCCGCACAATGGGAGGACGTGTCTTCTTGACCTCATTTAGCACTAAACTTAAGCCCCAAGGCATGAGGGCTGTACAGCTGCATTGTTCTGTCTAGAGCAAGCCAGATTTCCACCAGTGAGTCCTACAATGTCCACAAAGAGCACGTCAATTACCACCAAACAACCAAAAGCAAATTGTATGTTAACATGTTAGCCGGGCTAGGTGAACCATAAGGGGAGTCTAGTTTTCACCTCAGCCTGCAGCACTTGGAAAGTTGGAACACATTGGTTAGAACGGGATAACCAACACGTTGTAACACACCTTCTATCCCAGCCCAGGAAGGACAGTCTATCCTGAGGAAGCCTGTGTTCAAACGCCACTTACTGAGTCTTTGAAGAGAGCAGTTTCCAAAGGTTCACACAAGTGTTTATACTAGTGTGACGTTGCACTCCATGGGTACGTCTACACTACGAGATTAATTCGAATTTAGATAATTCGAATTTGGGAAACAGATTGTATAAATTCGATTGTGCGCGGCCACACTAAGCACATTAATTCGGTGGTGTGCGGCCACACTACCCCTAATTCGAATTAACAAAATCGATTTTGGTGCTACTCCACTCGTCGGGGTGGAGTACAGAAATCGATTTTAAGCGCCCTTTAATTCGAAGTAACTGGCTCCGTTGTGTGGACGGGTTAAGGATTAATTCGGATTAACGCAGCTAAATCCGAATTAAAGTCGTAGTGTAGACCAGGCCCATATGTTTTATGGAAATATGCTTAGGAGTGTGAATATGATGTAACTGGAATACGCTTTATGCAAAAGGCCTCTTGTAAGGTAGCCTAACAAAGGTTATAAACTACTGAATATGTTCCTTCTATTTGTATGCATGTATCCTTCTTGTATCTGAAGCTAGAAATATGAAGGTCCTATTGTAATTATGCAAAGTGTGGGCCATTAATGGTGGTTTAGAATCTTGATGGCTCCTACTGACTAGGACAATTGGTTGTAAATGGTTTATTTACCTGCAAGCCTTCCTGTGTAGGTGTGGGCCAACCCAGGAAGAATGGAGACTAGGGGTCTTACAGTGATATGTGACCATGTCACCTAATACTGGAATCCATCTTAAATCTGGTACTTTTCCATTTAGAAGGAGGGGTGGGGATCCAGAGAGACAAATGATTCCCGCCTTGTGCCAAAGCTATAAAAGGGGGGGGGAGGAAAGCAGGACAAAGGAGGCTGCCAGTCATGAAAAAACCCCTGCTTACCACCTGAGATGTCTGCGGGAACGAACAAGGACTGTACCGGGGAAAGGATTGGGCCCAGACTAGGAAGAAGTCTAGTCTGTGAAAGAAGCTTATTGGAACATCTCTGAGGGTGAGATATTACCTGTAATAAGTTTCTTAATGTATTAGGCTTAGACTTGTATATTTTTGCTTTATTTTGCTTGGTGAAATACTTTGTTCTGTCTGTTATTACTTGAAACCACTTAAATCCTACTTTTTATACTTAATAAAATCACTTTTGTTTATTAATAAACGCAGAGTAAGTGATTAATACCTGGAGGAGCAAACAGCTGTGCATATCTCTCTATCAGTGTTATAGAGGGCGAACAGTTTATGAATTTACCCTGTATTAGCTTTATACAGAGTAAAACGGATTTATTTGGGGTTTGGATCCCATTGAGAACCGGGTGTCTGGGTGCTGGAGAAAGGTAACCTGCTCAGCTGTTTTCAGTTAAGTCTGCAGCTCTAGGGGTGTGGACCAGATCCTGGGTCTCTGTTGCAGCAGGCTAGCGTCCCTGGCTCAACAAGACAGGGTTCTGGAAGTCCCAAGCTGGCAGGGGAAACTGGCTCAGAGGTAATTTCAGCACATCAAGTGACAGTCCCAAGGGGGTCTCTGTGACCGAACTCGTCACATCTAGGATGTGGCATTGTTCTATGCAGCAGCAAATCCAATTGGCTATTTCATTTTTACCAGGCTATTCTGGAAATCAAACTGGTGCTGTGTACTTGATATGGGAAAGCTGCAGCAGAAGAGGGTGCCTAAGAGCTTCCATGCACGTCACCTTTCCCTGAACAAGCGTATCATTAATTTGATCCATTTTCAGAGAAATATCACCAGCATGGCTTGCAGTAGCAAGACCTACACTTCCTCTTTGCTGGTCCTTTGCTAGAGATCTGAATTTCAGGCAGAACCACAGGACTGAAATGAGCACCAGTAAAAAGATTAGCAGGAACCAATACAGACAGCACTTTTCTGAGAGACAAGTAAAGTAAAAAAACACTGTCACCTTAAAACAGGTACGTTTGAGCCACTGTGTCACTTCAAAGGTCAAATAGCTGGAGATGATCCATATTCATGAAACAACAAGGCACCAACTTTCCCGTTAGGCAGGCTCTAGGATTCCTCGGCTGGTTTTATGTTTGGCTACAGAGTCTAACGTGCTTCTGTCCATAACTGGACTTTTATTTGCAAGTCCCTGCTGGTTCTTTCCTTCCTCTTTGCCTTACGTGTAAAAGCTTATTTGTAAAAAATAAAGTTTTACCAAGTCCAAGACAATTAAAGAGACTAAAGCCTCTCACATGCAGTGATCCTTGGAAGGCTGAGGAGGGAGTAACATAATTGCATCTAGCCAGGGCTCAATCGTATTCGACCCTGAGCACTGAGATTTAGAGAAATTTTATTAGTGCAAGTCCTAGTGTAAAATTCCTTAGACTAGCAGAGTCGTGTTCAACTGACCCGTGGCTAGTACTCGGAAGACTGAAAGCTCTGGTGGAGAGAGCTGTCCCGTACAGAAGTGAAACGGAAGAGCTACTACAAAGCAACTATTCACCCATTGTGTAAAAACACACTGGAAAAAACCAAAATCCAGCTAGTAAGAAGATGTTGCACTACCAGTGAGACAGCCTCTATCCCAGCACTACTGCAGAGCTGCCATGTTACAATTCTGTGTTTTCCTTCGTAAGTCAAATTCCCTTAAAGAGATTTAGCCTACGTGGAAAATTATTTTAGACAGGCCTCCGGCGCCCAGTGTCAAGCAGTCTCCAGAGTAGGTTCTCACCTACCCCTTGCTCTTACGTGTTATTTATTATCTCACAGGCACCTAGAGCCCCAACAGAGATCAGGGCCTCAGTGTGCTGGGCACTGCACAGACAGAATAAAAGATTGTTCCTAATCAAAATACACAAGACAGACATGGAGTCAAAAATGGGGTGTAATTTACAAGCAGAGGGAACCGAGTGACAGTTCAATGGCATGTTAGTGCCATGATTTATTTTCATATAAAAATGAGTGGGCTTAGTTTGTCCTCCTTTATTTTTCTTTATTATATTAAGTGTTTCGCAAGGGGGTTGGGAGAGGAGGGAAGGCACAAAGGGGTCCGCTGAATGGCAAACCCCACAAAGGCAGGAAGAGTGGGCCCTGAGGCCAGGGAAGGATGGAGGGGACCCACGCAGGGCAAGGGGAATGAGACCGAAATGAGGTCCCAGCAAGCAGCCAATCAGCAGAAGAGAAAGACCGTCCTTTTGGGCAGGCACGGCAGTTAAGAGACTCTGGAGCTCCGACAACAACCAGCTCACACAGCCCTGATTCTATTCCCCCAGCGCAAACCAGGTCGGAAACTAGCAAGTCAAAGGTCACAAGAGACAGAACTGGTTTCTCCAGGGTGTCCGGTGCTTATTTTCAAGCAGACACATATGACTGCATTCCAGCCAGGCCGTGGGTGCTTGGATTCGGCAGGTTTGTAGTTTCATTGCCTGTGGCAGGGCAACCCTGACTTACCGCCCACCCCCAGCCCAGGGAAGAGAGAACAACTCCCAGATAATTGGTTTGGGGTGGGGAGGGGAAGAAGCCTGTTTTAACACGCTTGTAAGTAATCAGATTACCAGTAGCACTGGAAGCCTTGCATAGCCTGACAGCTAGTGCCCGAGTTCCTGCCCACAAGTAGTTTCCTTGTGGTATAAACAATATGAAATTCACTAGTCTTCGTGAGTTTCAATCTGCAGCTGCCTCCATTATCAGAAAACATTAATGCAGGGGAACAATGGCACAATCAAGCGGACAGTTATTACTGTGCAATTTCATTATCCAGGCTCATTTAAAGCTGTCATGTATGCGGCTGCAGAAACTGATGGCTTAGCTACTCCTCCCCACTTGGCAAAGCATCCCAATTTCCAGCAACAGGGCGTTTTTAAAACCTACCCCATCCTGGGTTTTGCATCATTGCCCTTGGAAAGATGAGTGCCACAGCCGATGACACTGAGTGACCAAATTCTAAACCCCACTTTGTCTGCCTCTGGCCAGTTTTCCAAGTCTAGAGTATATGGACTCTCAGATGAGGACTCTCCTCTGATTGTCAGGGTGCTGATGAGGAAGTCACAATGTTTCTACACAAAGTTTAGTTACGGATTTACCTTTGAGGGTCATTTTTCCTCTCTGCCCTGACTTTCCATAGGAAAAAGTACCTGCCTCCTAGACTCTGCTCACTACAACGTGCTGCTGGCTTGTTCCATACTAAAGGCAGCAAAGACACTTCTCAAGCCATGGCCCACGTTCCAGAAAACATAAGGGCGTAACTATGGCAAATGTTCTAAAACCGCCATCCACAAGAGCTGAGGAGGTACATGCCAAAAAGTGTCATTTGCAACAGAAATAAGGGAACACGAAACCTTTCCAGCCAAAGCCCCCAGATTTCCACTGGGGCTAAAAACTACACAAATTCATCTTTCTCTGCATCAAATGGGAACCAATCGACTACCCGAGCCCTGCTCAACAGCTGGTCAGTTTTGCATCAGGTCTTAACATGCTACCTCATCTTCCTTAATGTACAGGCCTCTGTGTCAGCAAAGGGCTTCTAGGCACTCGTTCTGATGTAAAAGTGACCTACAAATACAAGTTGTGCCTGTGACCTTTTTGCTCCTGGGTGGTAGATAAAGGGCTAACACTGAAACTTTTCTGCTTGTTTCTTACATTAGAAATACTAGGAGTAGGAGTCACCATTTTCTCTAATCCGTCAAATCACGGCAGATTGATTTAAATCAAGGTGATTTAATAAGCAATTTAAATCATGATTTAATCACCAAGTGGAAAGCCTCAATTTAAATCATCCATTTAAATCAATTTTCCATTTGTACTTCAGTTATTTTCTAAAGAAAGGTGCATTCGCACTGGTTAATATAACCGTTAAACCACGCTGAATTACAATTAAATAGAGCATCTTTTTATTACTAGGAGGGTACATTAGAACAATCTATATTTATTTAAGCAATTGTATAGCTTAATATTTTCAGATTCTTATTAACTAATTGTACATTTTAGTATGTTAGAAAATAGTGAATGACATATTGCTTATTAACTAGATAATTAACTTTTTGCTCATGGCTTGTGTCACGCTGCATTAGGATGATAACTATAATTTAATTAAACACACAAAAAAGCATATACAATTTATTTTTGTTAAACGAAACAAGCTCTTAATGTAGTACATGACCT